GTCCCTTACAACGATCCATCCTCACTCCCGACATTTGTTGAGTGGGAGTGGAATCCAGCGCCGTCCAGTGCACCTTTCAGCAGAGAAAGTGGCGCGTTACAGCAACTTGCAAACCCATTCACCACACATGGCAAGAACGTAAGTGGCAGCTGAGGATCAGCATTAGAAGGTCAAGCAAGGCGCCGAAAAAGATTTCCCTCAATACGACTCGATCTCCACAGCACCTGAGTACGACTCCGTGGAGTATTATATAACGCTTATTTGGCCGTAGCGGTTATTGGCAAGATGCCTCGGAAAAATCGTCCTTTTTGAGTCATTAAGAACGAAGACTTTTCCTCGCAGTTTTTGACAGTTTCACTTCGTTTTTTCGCCATTTTCCCCACTATATAGTACTCTGCTAGCATTCTCATACCGAATACCAAATTATCGCCTTTTAGCCTTTTAGTGCTTTTAGTGCCTTTTAGTGCTCTCCATGATTTTTTTCTTTGCTTTTTTCTTCCGACTATCCACAATATGCAAGCGCGCGGTTTGTCTTTGAAGCCTTTTCTATGGTTCTGCTACGTCCTTATAATGAACTCAAGGATTCGATTTACATTATGTGATGCAACTTGATGAAGTCGATTACAATAATATGCATTTATTGAAAACAATACGCAAATAAATTATTACAAAAGTAGAGCGATGTTGCAAGCACGGCGTGAGTGCTAGTCTCATACAAAAAGAAGGAGAAAAAACGCAAGGCCCCTATCAATACAATTGATTTGATATCTTATATCAGATGGCCGACGTATGGATTCACTCGAAGTAAACAGGAAATGTCTTTCTCAAATCATTTTGCTAAGCAAATAAGAACAAAATACCAGGTAAGAGTGCATGAAGCTTTTTGGCCGACAGCGGTAAGAAATTTCAACGGGAAACTCAGAAGCGATTCCAAACCGAAAACCGTGTTCCACCCCGGACTAGCCAGCTTTATGCATCATCCCAGATAGGAGAAGACTTGAGCAATTGCACCATTTCTCTCGGTTCACTTCAAACGTCGGTTTTCAACACAAAGAGAAATGGATGAATATTCCTAATATCACATCTTTGACACGATCGACACAACATCGATGTCGTGTATCTAAAGCGTATATGAACGAAGAAATCTTCACCCACAACAGGAGCGCGGAGAGAAAAAGGCTGCGGCCGAGAGTGCGAGAGAGTTTGCGCAGAAGAATAAAGATCGACAAGGAAAACAAAAAACCAGGGAAGAGATACGACATCATTGATGAAATGGAGGAGCTAAACGCTGAAAGTTGAAGGAGAACAAAAGGTGTAGTGGCAAGTGTGGATGACGGATAAACTCTTGGTCAATATAATGTGCGCCCATTTCCTTAAGCTGGTCCCATTTCCAAGACCCACAATATAGCCCGAACCACATCAGGATATCCGCTTATGGGACAATTATCGCGCCGAAGGTGGTGAGTGGCGACCCATATCGCCAGTCTCCAACTAATGCCCTCAGCAAAACTTCGAATAAGAAGTGCCCAGTCGCTTCCATGTGTGAGGAGGGCAGGTCCGTAGCTATAGGGATGTCAAATTTTCACCGCTCGACAGCACGTCGAAGTGAAACCGAAGGGTTACTCCATAAGACTGTGTTCATACTTTTGTCAGAGCACGACAGCGTTTTGGGTGCTTCCAGCGTATGCCTACGCCAACGACGGAAAGTACAGGTATCGATCCGACGCACGCCAGCATATATCGGCGTACAGCACCGTTTCGAGCGACTAGCAAACTATATATGATTCAGTTTTCCGCGCGTCCACCAGCGTACGCCAAAGTTCCGAGCCACTAAGAAAATATGGTTATTGGTCTGGCGTCCCAGCGTCCATCAGCAACCGATAGTGGAGAGCATGGGGAAGTAGGAGGGTAGCAGACAGCTGGATTAGGCGTCGTGAAATTGCGGCGTGTGCAACCGCACCGCACAACTGCTAAAGCACAGAATTATGCAATCTCGATATACGGTGCAAGACATTTGCACGCGCTGTTGCACATGCTGCAATTTCAATACGCCTAATCCAGCAGTCACCTACCATCCTACTTCCCTATATTCTCCACTCCTTGGGTAGACGCTGGCTTATGCTGTAACGCTAGATCGATATCTATACTTTCATAGTGACTCGAAACGCTGGCATACTTTTGTGGACGCGCGAAACACTGGACCGATGTCCATACTTTCCCAATCGCTCGAGAGGATGATGTACGTCACATACGCTGGCGTGCGCCAGATCGATACCTATAAT